TGCTGCTGCCCCGGCAGACCTTGTAGAGGAGCCGGCGGAGCAGCAGCAGGAGCAGCAGCAGCAGGAGCAGCAGCGGGAGCAACAGCAGGAGCAGCAGCAGCTGCAACGGGTGCTGCTGCGACGCAGCAGCAGGCCACCGCGGCCGTCTCCGTCTGCTGCAGCAGCAGCAAATGTCAGCTGCAGCAGCCCCCGCATCCACACAGGCAACAACAACGCTTCTTACCACGCCGACAAGCAGGTGCTGCTGCTGTTGCTGCTGCAGTTGCTGCTGAGGTTGCTGCTGCAGTTGCTGAGCTTGCTTTGGCTGCTGCGGCCGCTGCTTGTCCTGCTGCTGCTAGCGCTGCATTTGCAGCTGCTGCCGCCGCTCGTGCTGCACCTGCTGCTGCTTCTGCTGCGTGTTTTGCTTCTGTTAGTACCCTCCTCTGCGCCCGCTGCCGCCAGGGTCAGTTGCAGGCCCGCGCCTAGGGTTTAGGGTTTAGGGTTTAGGGTTTAGGGTTTAGGGTTTGCGCAGGAGTGGCGCGCGCGGTTTTACGTGGGCCCCAAAAGATGCATGCGGACTTTTAGCGCGAAGCTCTACGGCTTCGAAAAGGCCCGAGAAAGGGCCCACGCCTTTATACGCTACATCCAGGTCCGAGGGTTTAGGGTTTAGGGTTTAGGGTTTGGGGTTTGGGGGCGTCGCGGGTCCGGGGCGCAAGGCGGGCTGGGCTAGAAGGCTCGCCGGCTGGAGTGGGCCGGCGCAGAGGTTCGCTAGGGTTTAGGGTTTAGGGTTTGGGGTTTAGGGTTTGGGGTGGTTCGCTAGGGTTTAGGGTTTAGGGTTTGGGGTTTAGGGTTTGGGGTGGTTTGCTGCAGCTGCACGGGCGGCTGCCGACGGCGTGGGGTCACCGGGGAGAAGGCGAGGCGGAGCAGCAGGGACTTGTGTCTGCTGAGATCAGCAAGAAGCAGCAAAAGGCTCAGCAGCAGCAGCGGCAGAAGCAGCAGCAGCAGCTGCTGCTGCAGCAGCAGCAGCTCCGCGAGCTCCCAGCAGCAGAGCAGGAACGCCCGGCGAAGAAGAGGTGCACTGATGCTGCTGCTGCTGCTGGAGGTCGCAGCAGAGAGCAGCAGCACGCACTGAGAGCGCAGCAGCAGCAACAGCAGCAGCTTCAGCAGCGGCAGATGCTGCTGCTGCAGCAAGAGCAACTGCTGATGCTCGTGTCCCAGCAAAAGACAACAGCGCAGCAGGATTGCACTGTCGACTGTGAGTCAAACCCTAAACCCTAAACCCTCGGTAGGGGTTTTAGTCCCATATGGACTCGTGTTTCCTTTTGGCGCAGAGATGGCAGTGCTTGAATTTTAGGGTTTAGGGTTTAGGGTTTGGCGGTTGCGCTGCAGGGGCGGACTGCGAGGCTGGGGCTTCGAGCGACGGCAGCGGTTTGTCTCCTGTGCAGCAGCGGCAGCTGAGCAGCAGCAGCAGCAGCAGCAGCAACAGCAGCAGCGACAGCTGCTGCC